TTCGTTATGGTCCGCGACGAGTCATTGTATATGTACGGTTTGGTCACTCGTTATGGTCCGCGAACCAGTTGCCAGCGCAATAGGTCAAACAAGAAAAGTCTCTTAGTTTCTCTGTCAATAACAATAACAATATTTGTTTACATTTCAACAATCATTTTCTCACTGTTTTCATACGATATATCTGTGACTTTCAAATCACACAAAGAGCAATAAGAAGAATTAGATAATAGATCCGAAGATTTTTCATTAGATTAGGATGAAAATCGTCCAATAGTACCCGAGGACGCATAAATATTATTAACAGCGAATTTAGTGGCAAATCATCGTCAGACATCGTCAGGATTCGAAAGCAATAATAAAAGTAAAATGCAACGTGTTCAATGACAAGCTGTTTTATGAAATTCCATACTTTACAATACTACATAACCTTACTCTACTTTACAATACTACTTTACATAACCTTTATCAATACTTAACACGCAAGTGCAAACCGTATTGTCACTTGAAAGTTACAAACTCGTTGCAATAAAATCGTTGAAACTGCAAACGAATTCGTTGTTAATCTGTATTTACAGGTTGATATTTGTTAATTTTACGTTACATGGAGGGTTAATGTTCTCTCTCTCTCTCTCTCTTTCTTAATGAAATAGAGAAAGAAAGGAAGCAACTTACCTTGGGCATCTGCGCAATTAAAGTCGAAGCTGAGTCTGTCCTCTTGCTGGTGAATGCTTTCCGGTTCGAATTTCCCCCTGTTTCTCGGCACTTTCACGGATATGAAGTTGTTATCGATTTCGTGGCTGACCTCGTCGTAGGGTGACTCGGCGTGCGGCAGAGGACACGATGGATGAAGACACTGAAGACAGGCGCATCGACTGTCCATCATGTTCATTTCGAATTTGTCTAGTATTTTATAGCTCGGCGCTCGAAACGAGCGCGCTTCTGTTTCCCTATAATCTCGTGGCTCGTCTGTCGGTTGCCATTTTGACCGAACAACTGAAGGAAATTGCGATTACATTCGTATAGTACGCGGATGCGTACAGGGTGGTACAATCAGAAAAGAAAAGATAATATTTTCTCGTTGAAGTTTTCGTGACGAAGAATGGCAGACGTGAATAATTAACAGGATGTTGCTACTTCACTTACTGCGCATAGAATATATCCAGTATGAAGTTAGCCAGATTCAAGTTACACTCGATAAATTCTCAAGCTCGATCTTTTTCGAATATGAAAACATTTTATTCTTTATCCTTCGTTCCACGTACGAATCGCCTATTCTGAGACACCCTGTATATATACCATATGTCATACGCATCATCGACGATCATGTTGAAATTTCATGCTGTGTTTTCGAAATCGATAAAAGAAAAGCGACAAACATCTCGAGTGTGGAATGTAGAAATGGAATCGATGAAATCGAATCGAGATTAACGTGCTAATGGTGATACTGTGTGTGTGTGTGTGTGTGTGTGTCTGTGTGTGTATATATATATATATATACATGTATATATATATACATATATATACATGTATATATACATATATATACATGTATATATA